GTTTTTCTCCGGTACCAGGAACCGAACTCACGACCTTGCGCTTGCCAGGCAGGCGCTTTTGCCGCTGAGCTAAATCCCCAGCCCAAGTTTTTTGTGATTAACAGATTGCACCCTGTTGTCCAGCCAGCCTGCCACCCCCTAATCTCCTGCCTCAGAGGGTGATCATGCCTGTGCACAGCCGCTGTGCTCCTGCCTGCGCAAAAGACTGAGACCCTGTCTCTGTGGAAAAAACAAACAAACAATTTTTTTAAAAAAGAAAGAAAAAAAGAGAAGCAAATTCCTTAGGACCGTTCATGTTCAGGTTTGCCTGTGGACATAAATTTTTTATTTCTCTGGGATAAATGCCCAAGATCTGTGGGGTCTGTCTTTGTCTCTGTCTCTCTCAGTCTCTTCTCTTTTTTTGTACTGGTTTTTGGTGTTTTGAGACAGGGTGCCGAATTATAGTCCTGGCTGGCCTCGGACTGGAGGTAGTTCTCCTACCTCAGCCTCTCAAGTGCTGGGATTACAGGTGTGCACCACCACACATGGCTTCCCTCTCAGGTTCTTTTTTTTGAGACAGGGTCTCACTATGCAGTTCAGGCTGGCCTTGAGCTCACTTTGTAGCCCAGGCTGGCCTCCCACTCACAATGATCCTCCTGCCTCAGCCTCCTGAGCGCTGGGATTATAGGCATGCGCCACCACTCCCAGCCCTCCTCTCAGTTTCTTGAGACAGGATCTCACTGTGTAGTTTAGGCTGGCCTTGAACTCCCTATGTAGCTCTATGTAGCTCTCTTTAAAAAAAAAAAAAAACACACACAAAAAAAAAACCTATGCACCACTGTACCCACCTCATTTCTCTTCCTTTAAAGAGGTTGTTTTATGTGTGTTGTCTTCCCAGGAGATAAGTAACTCAATTTTTGCATATCTGCATGGGGAGCAGATAGCTCAGGCCAATATATATTTCTCAAATAATGGAGGATCCAGTTTTCAAAAGTTTACATATGAAAAACAGGTATGTTCAATCAGGTAAGAAAACAGAAAAGCATATAGCTACAGCGGAGGCCGAGGTGGGGGGGGGGGTCACACAGTGATCCCTCTCTCATTTTGCCTGAGGCTGATTCCCTCCCTAAGATGAAGACCTACCTGGGGGTTCTGGTGGCAGAGAAGAAGGGGCAGGGTCGCTGGGGAGAGGAAACAGGAAGGTCAGTTACATGCTCCCCAGCTGCCCGTACTAGTCAGAGTAGGTTGTGTACAGTAGACGGGCCCCCATGTAGCAGAGGTGTATGCAAGGTTGCCTTTCTCCCTCTGTCCCTGCTCCCACCACATAAAACACATCTGGAGGTGACCGGGGAGGTTGCCATAGTGACCCGTCTCACCATCTCTGGGTTGCTTTATGTTGGTTGCTGGACACTCTTCTGTCCATCCAGAGGTCAGAAATGTCGAATCTTCGCAGGCATAAAAGACGTAGGCAGGTGACTAGTAGTCCGGGTCTACTGCCTTCCCCAACACCTGCAAACCGAGCTTTTCTCTGTGTGTGTGTGGTCCGGGGCACCGGACTCAGGGCCTGCACAACAGGTGACATCCACAGCCTGTCTCAATTTTATTTTTGTTTCACACGGTATCTTATTTGCCCCGGGGGACTTGAATTTGTGAGCCTCCTGCCTCAGCCTCCCAGAGTGCTGGGATTAGAGGTGCACAGCTGTCTTCATGCAGGCTTT